GATACGTAGCAACCACTACGCCGCGCATGCGCGGCACGCTCCCCCTCGCTTTTCGCTGCGCAACCCTTCCCCTCGCTTTTCACCGAGCGATCTTTCTTCTCAGTTTTCACCGGGTGCTGTTCGGATATTCATCTATTGTGTTTAAAAAAATATTCACGGTTTATTCAATTATTCATATTTTACATGATTTTAACAAATGAATATCGTCATATATTTCGTGCTTTGCTTTGTGGCATCTCTGATATTTGTTCAATCCTATATTATTTGCGCGATTCTTGTAAACGTAATTAGTAATTGTCACATGGAATATTTTTGATATTCTAACATTATGTCTCAATTTTTATTATTCTTTTGAATGATTCATACTTAAATAAAGGTTGATAATATTCTGTATATTCTTGATATAAAGATACATGCAAATTTTTTTAATCTTGCGAAACAATTTGCGCTAAATGCACCTTTGGCAAAAAGTATTAAATATCTTGTTAATTATTATTTAATTTTTCAGCTAAAAAATTAATTTATGATACTACTAATTAATTTATGATACTATTTTTTCTTTTGTAATTGGAATTTTAACTTTAAGATATGTTAAATATATTTTTCCTTTAAATATTTTTCTTTCAGAGTTTTACATTTTTGAATGAAAAAATGCATTTTTCTCATATTGTTAACTATATATATAATTAACAAAATGAGACACTTTTTCATTCAAAAATATACTTCACTAAATATATTTAATTGCAACAATTTATATACATTTTATTATAAATGTACAACTTTATAAATATTTTCTAAAGATGTTAAAATATACGTAAAAATCATTTATTAATTCTTATATAACTTGTAAAAATAATGAAAATTAATCCACTATCAAACTTACTAGACTCAACTTATGTTGGGAAAAAATGAATATTGTTGTGTAGTTTATATCCATATTTTCAGAGGACAATAGCGTGCAGGAGCATTTTGCAGTTACAGAAAAAAGGCCCTCATATCCTCTCTCAGCAGGTCTATTCTTTCATCGTGAAAAAAGCTGCTCAGCGGCATTATAATGATAATGAAATTTGCGTTAAGAGTGTTACAAAATAGATCTGCAAAACAGTTTCACTGACTAGTGCTGCCATCCAACAAAATACTTATTGATTTACTTAACAAATACTTATTGATTAACAGTAGATAACTCAGTTATTATGTAGAATAGCAAAAATTTCGTGAAGAGTTGAAAATTCTATATTTTATAAAAAATGATATTATAAAATAATTGATACTTCTTTCTCTCCTCTGTCTCTCTATTTTTATTTTATATCTAAAAAAAAAATATTTTTGTAAGCGAATTATTTTTATATTACATGCAATGCTATAATTTTATAGCAAAGACTCATTGATTTTTTTCACGATGAAGGAAAAATAATTATCGATAATGTGACAAACAATTAGAACGTGAGAGTCAGATAGATATTACTTAATTTATTTTGTTCTTTCGTATTTCAGATGCTATATGTTTTCTTTATGTTTTCGATGATATAATATTATTACACATTTCAGATTCTAGATTTACATGTTATCCTTGTTCTATTATTTAACACGTCATGTAGATTGATAATATATGTCATACACGAGGAACAATGAATTATTATTTTTAGCAAAGCGCATGCTGAACTCTGTCTTCCCACACTCAATTATGCATGTTCATTCTCGCGCAAATTATACCTCAGCTAACTATTCCTAAGCACGCTAAATATTCTTGAAATAGGTATTTATGAAAGATTTTTACATCCTCAAAAAGCGTTCCAAGAGTATTCTGGAATATTCCTAAGTATTTACGAAATGTAAAAGTAACATTCAAATATCAATTAAAAATTCCATTTATAATATATCATTATATATTCTGAGAATGTTCTATATATATATATTCCGCAAAATGCTAATTTTGCCAGAAATTTCGAATTCAGTCGTCTCTGAATCATTTTTTGAAAAACATAATTTTATATTATGAAAAACACATAATAATTTTATGTGTTTTTATCTTAGAGTCCAAAATTTTAGGACTAATTTTACACATGAAATGAAATGTCAATTGCTGTAAATTTCTGGCTTACGCACAGTTACTCAACAGCATATGGTGGATAGCTAAGCATGATCTCCAATGAGAAATGACAATGAATCGACGTCGAATCGATTTATAAATAACTTTTTTATTTAACTTTTTAAAAGCTTTCTTCAGAGCATAAAAATATTACAAAGTAATAAAAAGATGTTTTTTTCATGTTGTTTTTTTGAAACATCTATAGTTTCCTTAAAGATAATAGAAGATTAATTATCTTTAAAAAAATAACTATTCTTCTTTAAAGTTAACTAATCAAACAGACTCAAAGTAACAACAGAATAATGACAATATAATATATGTACATTCACTCACATATGTTGAGTCACCGAACGGGAACGTATAATTATCCAATTTACAGATTCAACGCAATCAAACAATTGACGAACGCGCACAATGCAAGGAAAACTCAGCTGTACGCATCAGAATTGAATTTAATCATTGGTATATGTATAATTTAATGGAATTCCCGTATTTAATTGCTAAGCAAATACATCGTGAATGAAAGCATATTTATTCAAAAACATATTTTTTTTATGCTGCATGTAACAATTCCTGAAAAACTCTTGCTGCGGAACAAGTTAAATGAAATTAAATAATCGCTTTGGGAAGATGCAATATAATATTGTTACTTTTCATTAAATGATAGGATTTTTAAATATGGTTTTTACATATTCTTCTTTTCATTTTTTTTAAATACAAACTTTATGTCATTTGTATGCAGCAAAAGTATATGTGAATTTACGTAATTATTAAATCAACAGAATTATTTTTAAAAGCTATCAAGTTGCAAAACTTATATCGATGCAAATAGAGCTATTGATAATAATAATCTCCAATTTTTTAAAATAAAGTATCAACTTTAGAGACTCAACAGACTCAAAAAGTACTGTTTGAAACAAAAATGTATGTACACATGACTTTTTTTCATTTAATTTTTCGGAAACCTTAAGAAAATTAAAAAACTCAATTAAAATCATATTCATATATTGTCTTAATTATCCTATAATTATATTCACCTTGTTTCATCTCTCTATTCTGCATGAAAATTTAAATTAAATAGAAAAGAAAAAAAGGAAGTGAAACAGCTAAAAGAAGCATTGTTCTTCTTTTTCTTCTGTCCTTTATTAAAACGAATGCATTTATATTTATACATAAATGATGCAAAAATATGCAAATAGATTTCTAATAGTTCTAATCACTTCCTCTACTATAAAAAAAAAGAATCTACTCATCCGTAGTGCATCTTCTGCACTTCCTTCTCTCTCTCTTTCTCTCATAGATTTTGATAATATCCGATTATCATCCGTCTCCTTCCGAGCGTTTGGAAGTGTAATCCAGGGTAAGCTGAGAGTAGCTACGAAGAGTGAGAGGGACAGACGACAGATACACGAATCACGGAGCGTCTGAGCGTCAGTCAGTCGCTGACAGTCGAAGATTGCTTATAGATAGTCCTGATCTGTCATTCGAGAGCTTAGTGCGGTCGATCCTGAGCAGAGTTGAGCGCGACGACGCGCGTCTCGCAAAATGGCAGAACGAAGCCGCGCGGGTCATCTCGCGCTCCTCTACCTGGCCTGCTTGATCGCGCAGATGGTGCGGTCGAACCCGGTGAACATCCCCCTGAACCGGGTATCGTCGCAACTCTCGGAGAAGGCGTGGAGAGCCCTGAACGATCACTCTCCGACGCATCACTTGTACGCGCATGGCAATCTAATAAACGCGCAGGAATTGGTGAGTCCGTGTACCCGCTCGACGTCGCGCGATTTCCACGGAGAGTCAGGATATTTCGGGGAAAATTGGGGGAAGTTTCGATTGCATGTCCCCTTGCAGCGCTTTTGTTTTCATTTTCGACGCAGTCATATGAGTGTCATGAGGCAGACAATGCTGACATGAACATGAGTCGATGAACTAATTTCTTTGTTTGGTGATGACAGCAATGAGAAAGACCTTGCTTGCAAATAATGCGTCTCAAGTTTCCAACATGTAGCGTTGAAAGGTGGAGGATAATTTTTTTCTGCTGCGCAGTTTAACTTCTCCGAATAAATAATTAAATATTTGCAGAAGTGAAGATGAGATTCCTATAAACATTTAAGGTTGTCAGATTATTATCGATGTGATGAAAATTAAATTGTGAATTAATTGCTATTATCAATGTGATGAAAATTAAATTGTAATGAGGCCAAGGATTAAGTAATTGGATTATATTATTATTAGTATAAACATAGTAATAATTTCTTTTTTCAAAATAATTATTTGGGAATGTCACAAAGAAGTCTGATAAAGTTCTAAAGGTAAAAAGATTTTTTTTTAATTTTTTAATGCAATAAAGAATGAGTGAAATTATAAGTATTGCATGTGTTTGATTCTATTTATAGATAATCTTATGGCATGAAAGATATAAGAATTTAATATCAAGGAAGACATGAAATAATTGCATAATTATAATGATTTTAATTTGTTTTCTTGAAAGAACATGTTTAATGAACATTCTTTTCTGAGAATCGTGAGACGTTTTTACGATCTTAAGGAGATATTATTTACTGGATTCTTTCGAGAACGCAATGTTCTACGTAATACTCAACTGATGTAAATAATTGACATCATTATTTAGAAAAAAATAAATACATCAAAATTGCAATTTGTTTTTAAATAATAAAGCTAAAAAATTTTTAACTGTTCTGGATTCTGTCATTATTTTATTTCCTTGATAAGGGTGATATTAAGCACAACTGCTTCTGAAAAACAGGGATAAGATAATATTTGTTATTTTTCTGATCATGTGACATATATGCGTATTCTATTAATACGTGTCAAGGTACATATGTTCTATGTATATATTCGGAGGCCTTTCGAATGATAAACTGAGATAATAACGGTCTGGGTTATCAGGACAAGTTGTACTCAGGCCAAGCTGTACTTAGCTAAAGAATGTGGAAACTGATTACTGCGCAACAGATTTTAAGTACACAATATTATGCTTTCTAATTTCAACAGTAGAATAATTGCTGCAATAACTAAAATTGTAAACGAGATTTATTATTTTACTCAATAATGATGATATCAATAAGTCTGTTTAATTTTAAGATAATGATTTGCGTTTCATTTCTCATGTAAATAATTCTATTATTATTGCAGGATGAGCCGCCTTATAAAGTATATAAATTCACGTACGACTTGAGTCCAATATGTGGAACGGAGTCCTGTCCCAGAGAGGCCTGTACTATTGACTTGAAGCAAGACGAGTACGGCGACATAGAGACGCTGAATGATTCCATTCAGTGCATGTACTTCTATCCAGCTGATGCACAGAATGACATGTCACAGGAGCAACAGAGTTATCAGGAACAGGAGGACACTCAGGTCACTCAGGAGAGTCTGGCCGAACAGGTGAACAATAATCGAAGCGTGGAACTGGATCACGAGATTCAGGAAACCGGCGATGAGAACGTTAGACCATTCATCGCTATGCGCGCTTCTGGGAACTATTGTCCAGGTTGTCCGTACGAGCTGAATCCAAATCTGCCAGGTCTCCTTGCCTTCGGCGACCAAGCATTGAGATCAATGGACGAGCAGACTACGAGCGATTACAAGCACAAATTAATGAGCATCGTAAGAGTCACCCGCTCGGTACCGGTCTCATCCAACGTGATAGAGTATCAGCTGTCATTGCGAACGACCGTTCCAACCAAGTTGTGCCTGGTCACGTTCGAGCAACGACCGTGGCAACAGTCATCCCTCAAAATTACTAAGAATAACTGTACAGATCCCGAGAATGTGTCCAGTGCCATTTACCAAACGCAGAGATCAAATTTGGAGAGCGAATCCTTTGTGACAGTCAAGTATAATGAAGGACAATCGTCCCACACTGAGATGGCCGATATGTATGAAGGCTTGAAAGAAATTTTGGAGAATTATACCCTCGCGCCTTCGACCCCCTCAAAGGAACCCGAGGAAGCTGAAGTCACAGAATCCGCTATCATGAAGATAGTGTTGAATAAGAGTCAGGACGACGAAAAGATCTCAGGTTTTACGGACAAGGCAAAAGAATTCAAAGAATTCTTAGAGAATTTTGATCTGCCTGTCAAGATGGAAGATGCTACACCCAATACAGATGGAGTTATGAAGGAAGTCAAGGAAGAGAAATTTCTGCGAAAGAAGGTTTCCGTGGAGGATTTGAGGCTCGAAAAGACAAAGGATAGAGGAAACGTTAATAATAGAAGGAAGCGTTCGGAGTCTATTCCGAACTTGGTTGGTGCTCCCACAGCAACGTCCATAAACAATCCTGATGTTCAACTCTTTGCTCAAAAAGCTCTGCAGAAAGTTTCCGCAGAATCAGACAGTCCGAACGAGCCGCTCATAGTAGAAATCACCGAGGCGAGTGTCCAGGTGGTCGCTGGTAAACTTTACAAGATCAAAGCCAAACTAGGCGACAGTGATTGTTCAAAAGGCGTCAAGGACAACTGCAAGTGTGTCTGATACAGGTGTGGTCGCGACCATGGGAAGATAAAGGTTCGCCTGAGATAACGGTCACGTGCCCTCCGCCAGAAAATAGCAGAAGGAAACGGTCTCTACGCGGCATTAATTACACCAAAAAGATGCTGCAAATTTCCGAGGACATGAAGGCCGAGCGGTTATTCAACAACTTTATGACGACTTACAATCGGACATATTCCTCACTAGAGAGGAATCTGCGATTTAAAATATTCCGCGAGAATCTCAATTTCATAGAGGAGCTGCGTGAAACCGAGCAGGGAACCGGTATCTACGGCGTGAACATGTTCGCCGACATGTCGCAAAAGGAATTCCGCACACGTTATCTCGGTCTACGACCCGACTTGCAATCGGAGAACGAGATACCTTTGCCTAAGGCCGAGATCCCGGATATCGATCTACCATCCAGCTTCGACTGGCGACAGAAGGGCGTCGTGACTCCAGTGAAGAATCAAGGCCAATGCGGTTCGTGCTGGGCCTTCTCGGTGACGGGCAACGTCGAAGGCCAATATGCAATCAAGCATGGCCAGCTGTTGTCTCTATCCGAACAGGAATTGGTGGACTGTGACCATCTTGATGAGGGCTGTAACGGCGGCCTACCCGATAACGCCTATAGAGCTATCGAGCAATTGGGCGGTCTCGAACTGGAGTCAGACTATCCGTATGAGGCGGAAAACGAAAAGTGCCATTTCAAGCAGAATTTGGTGAAGGTAGAATTGGCCTCCGCTGTCAACATTACATCGAACGAGACGCAAATAGCACAGTGGTTGGTGCAAAACGGTCCAATCGCCATCGGCATTAATGCTAATGCCATGCAATTTTATATGGGAGGTGTCTCGCATCCCCTCAAAATCCTGTGCAACCCCAACAATCTGAATCATGGCGTGCTAATCGTCGGATATGGCACAAGTCGTACGTATCTTATTAAAATACCTTTCTAATCTAGTATTGATCATTTTATTATTGGAAAGACAATAATTAATTACTTATTTAGAATACTAAGAGCACTGAATAACAGTGCTTTAATATTTACAATAAGCAATCAATTAGTGCCTTTCATTATAAAAAATTATAAATTA